TACGACTCGCAGGTCGCATGACATACATTGCTGTGACTCTTATGTACTTAGTAAAACCAGTACTAACAGGTGCACACAGAATACATCGCAAAAACAATTGCATTACAAAACTCCAAACAATTCACACTATATGCAACTAACACCAACCTGGCAAATTAGAAAATTTTGTATAACATAAACATTAAACACGGCGTAGCCTCTGTTGGTGACTTAGTGGTTCAACATGACTCAGCATACGAAAACCATACCTTGGTTCTGAGTACCACTCCCCCCCCCCCCTTTCTCAGACTATGATACTCATTCACGCCAGAAAGACACTATACCCCAGACCACACAAGGTTCCCTTCCTTCACCCTACATTACACCCAGATTCACCATACACACCAAATAAAACATACAGTCCAGACGCCCCCCCCCCAAAAAAAAAAAAAAAAAAAAAAAAAAAAAAAAAAAAAAAAACTAACTCTTCTCTCCCCCCCCGGGAGACCAACCCCTAGGCCCTACCAAGCGATTATACCTACCCCCACCTCATTACTCCCGTAACGTTTCCATCGTTAGATTCCTATACCCCAAAGAAAAAGCTCCCTCCCAGCATTGCCCATATACCTCTCTGTTCCTACATTTCGTCCTATAAACATGACACATCAGCGCCTTGACACGCATCGCACCCCTAAGCCCCCGCATACCCCATGACACATATAAATAGTCAAGTACCAAATATGACACAGAACGTCGTACAGCATCCGAGCAATCTCCCATTTCAAGACTCAAAACTCTAAGCATCGACAAACCCCCCCCTCCCACTCTTCGGAGAACACCCTTGAACCAATCCCTAACCTTATGTAAACTGTCACAAAAGTATACGACATGAAACGCCGTTTCCGGCCACCCACACCACGCACAGGTCTGATCCTGGGTCATTCCCATAATGTACAATTGTGCCTTGGATGCCAAAATCCCGAGGAGGAATCGGTAACCAGTTTCCCTAACCCGTGGTTGTAAGCGCAATTTCTTGAACCCCTGCCATATAGTCTTCCAATTATATCCTGGGAAAACCTCAGCACCGATGACTTCCGCCGATGTTATACCTATATTGTCTAGTTTACCTGCCTTAACTCTCACAGGGTTTTGCACCATCAATAAGTGCCGTAACATTGCTTCGCACCTTGTGAGGTCCTTCCCCACCCACCATCGTCGAACCTCCCTCATCACTGCATCAACTCTCACTCCCCTGACCCCACCCCTTGTTAGGTATTCCTGTCGTACATATATGCCCATTAGTCGACTGTGTAGTGGTATTAGCCCCAAACCTCCTCGAGTTACGTGCGTCATAACTATGTCTTTCCCTAACCAATGCCTACGGTAACCCCATATGAAATCCAAAGCCTTCCTCTGTAACCGCAACGCATCGTCCGTCATCAATGGATAGACCGCTGAAACAAACCATAATTTACTATACACCAGTACGTTGACAACTATTACTCTTTGGTGCAATGTTACATCACCTGGTCTCCATCCCGCCATCCTACGAATTGCAGCTGTAACTACAATGGATGAATTAAATGCACGCGCTGCCTGTTCATCATTGCAAAAATGCACACCACAGATCTTTATCCGCTCAACGGTTCTCCACCCATACTCCGTACCTAACGTCCCGCCCACCCAGGACCCCACCTCCAAAAGTTTGGATTTTTCTCTATTAATGCGCATGGAAGACGCATCGCTAAAAAACCTTATAACCTTATTTATGAAAGCTAAACCATTCCTACTATGCACCAAGATGGTGGTGTCGTCCACATAACCTAAAATTTCTACTGCTTCTTCCTGTGCACAATCCTCCCCCCCCACCCCACCCATTACTAATCTATAAAAGGGGTCCTGCAAACAGGCAAACAAAAGCTGCGAGAGGGGACACCCCTGCCGCAGCCCCCACCCCATGCCTATCGCGGACCCCACCCTCCCATTAACCTGGACTCGTACCTGTGCCTCCGTATATAACATACGTACCCACGCTACTATTTCTTCCCCGAAACCCTGCTTCAATAATATAGCTAATAATGTTTCCCTATCCACATTGTCAAAAGCCTTTTCCCAATCCAATCCTACGACTCCGCCTCCACTACAATCTTTCACGAAACTTTTGAGGCGTCGATGACCATCTCTCATAGATCGGCCAGGAATCCCGTATTGCCCTTCCCATATTACCTTGTCCAAAACTCGTTTCATCCGGTTTGCCAAAATACGCGCAAAAATCTTATAATCCGCCCCCATCAATATGATGGGCCTATATGCCTCCAAAGATTCACAGACCTCGGCCTTTGGTACCAATACTACAACACCCAGCCCCGCTTCACCGCCCATGCTACCTCTAGTTTTCATTGAATTGTACAGTCGAACCAACATGTGTTTTAACAGTTCCCAATGAACGACATAAAAATCACCTGGTATCCCATCCCAACCAGGTGATTTCCTCAGTGCCTGTCCCTGAACAGCCTTGGAAACCTCCTCCTCCAATATACAACCCTCCATGTCCTCTCGATCCACGTCTCTCAAATTTGCCACTATGCCACGCAGTAAAACTTCCCTCGCCTCTCGATTCCCCTCTCTACCCTTCCATTTTCTCTCAAACCATTGGTCTGCATAGGTCCCAATGCTCTCAGTAGTAACTAGCCTTTGTCCTTTATGATAACCACCCAAGTCATCACCGACCACTACTGACAAAACTGTCGTCGCCATCCGTCGCATTCTGAAACTACGCAGAACCCCAACTGAGGATTTATCCCCCCAAAGCACCTCCTCAATCCCAGCTCGTACCCTCAAAGCCTGAAATTTATCATTCTGAATTTCCCGTAATTGACTATGTAGACACTCTATTTCTGCTAGGTCATACCTCCCGCCTGTACCATAACAATCCCTCAGCTGTCCCTCTAAATATTTTTGCTTCCCATATCTATAACACGCCTCCTCCTTCCCTAACCGTCTATAAAAACCCTGTATTGCATGTTTCGCCTTTGAATGCCACCACTCTACAACATCCTCTATCCCATTCCCGTTATTCCAGAAGTCAACCCACCATAACCTGAAAGCTTCCACAGCATCAACTCCTTGCAACAAGCTGACATTTAATTTCCAATAACTAGTAAATACACGGATAGCGCCCTCCCACTCCAGTGTTACCATAACACCACGGTGATCTGAGAAACCCAGATCAACACAATCGACCCTGCCACCACGGATTAAGTTGGTGATATAAACCCTGTCCAACCGCGCAGCGTAACCCCTTCTACAAAACGTATGTTCCACATTCCACCCGTCGCTACCCACCACATCCGCTACACCAATCGCTTGCAATACCTCACGTAAAACCCTTAAATTACACCCCCCACCACGCGGTTCGACGTCTTTTTCCCGGATCACACAATTCCAATCACCTGCCACGACAGAAACTAAGGGTAGACTTCTGAGAAAATAAACCAAAACATCACGTACAAAATCCTCTTTTACTCGTCGATTTGTTGTCGCTGGCATATATACTCCACGAAACCCACCTGAATGTTCCCCCACAAACCCACCACACGCACAACCCGGCCCCCTCCGCCCCACTCCCATGCTACAAGCTTAAAAGGGCTGGTCTCCCTTATGCCTATCACAACCCCACCTTTGAGATTATCCGAATTTCCCGCATAGCACTTATACCCTTGCACACGTAATTCACTACCACACCGAAAATTGTGTTCCTGTATAAAAAAAAACGTCAACATTCATACGTCTGAGCGATACCTCTACCCAACATCTCTTGACCTCTGCTCTGAGGCCATTGACATTCATTGTTATACACTTGAACTCTCTGGTTAGGTTTTCTCATTTCGTTTTCCCATCACCTTTATACCTGACTTGGACTTGCCACTGCTGCACCTGCCCGTTTTCCCCCCACTCCCACTTAACTTCTCTAAGGGGGGTCCCTTAACTCCCTTGGCTACGTCAGCCCACACCATTTTACCAGACCTTTGACCCGGTGTTAAGACATCGTCCTCCACGTGTGTACTGGGCCTCTTCCGTGACACTCCCTCATAGTCCATAGGCCCATCGCTGTCTGTTCTATGTACCTCGACATCCGTCACCACCACAGACGTAAAAGTCGTACGCCTATCTTCACCGCCCACACCATGACCATGGTCGACCACAGGCGACACCGCTAATGTAGGCGGTAAACCCTCTGTCGCCGGGCTATCGAGGATCCTCTGTAAGTCTTCAAAACTGGGCAATATCAAGGGCGTTTGTGCCTCCTCTTCCACCTGAGGTGACGCACTGTCCACGCACCCAATCGCCTCGATCTCCGACGCTGGTGGTAGCGTCGAGACGATCCCCTCTGCAGCATCCACTGCTTCACTCCACTTTACATCCGCTGGTAAAATCTGCAGCACATTGTCCACCATTGTGGGCTTCTGATGGCCCAGCTCACCCTCCTCCATCGTATCTTTGGATGCAGTGTCTGTCAGGTCCGACCGTTGTTTCCCTCGTCGGTGCTCACAAGACGCCGCCATATGACCCGTTGCACCACACAGGCGGCACGTCCGAACCTGGCCCGGTCTGCGTCTGAAAATCTTCCAACATGACAAACGAGGGAATTGGATGTCTCAATGTTATTTTCATAGAAAAGGAACCTGCGAGCATACCAGCATAAAAACCCTGGGACCAACGCCCAATTTGGACAGCTTGTACGGTGCCATAGCGCCCAAAAGTCCGACGGATGTCCACCTCGTCTGCCTCGAAGGGGATATTACGTAGACGAACCCACGTATAACTTGTCGATACATCACGCAGGCGCACCTCCAGACTAGCGTTGATAACAATTCGTTTTTCTTGAAAGGCATCCACAACACTCACATACGCAGCAGACGACACAAATTTCACAAAAAATTCTTGCGTTGCCGTTCAGAGAAATCCCATATAAATCCTCACGTGGGATTCCATACGTATCTCTTATCACAAGAGGCAGAATGACGTCAGCGGTGTCCTGGTATATTGCACCTTTCAATAATTCCACACAGACAGTGTTGACTCTTTTCCTGCGTTCCGCCATCTTGAGAAAACAAAACTTCTCAATACAGACACCAGAGGGCACCAGCCGCACGCTCTGCGTCCGCCCTCACCAACAGCTGGGTGAGAATACAATAAGGGTTCACATCTAGCAGACAGGGGAAGCGACAGACCTGTTTGTGGCTAATGTAGTGCTGTATGGTGCTGCTGTATGGTGCTGCTGTGTGCCCAAGTGACTTAACTGGCCCACACCTAATCTACTATCTACAAGGTTAATTCTAGGGGGTGGCCAAGTGACCTAACTGGTCCACACGTAACCAACTATCGAATAAGATAGTTTGTTGAGCAATAACTGGATACTATTTTCCTCTCCTGAAAGAGGCACTAGAAGCAGCAGAGTCTGGCATCAGCGGCACTGATGCAGATTTAATACTTTCCTGAAAGAACTAGAAGACAATACCGTGACGAACGATAACAAATAACCTGCACGTAGGAGAAAGAAGCTGATGACGTTACGGTTCGATTTGAACCATTGACTAGTCACATTAACACAAGCTGATTTAATGACGATTCGGACCGAAATGTTGTCATCAGCTTCTGTATCCTATGTGCCAGTTATTTGCGTATTAATACTTTCGTGGTTACGCTCAACTAGCTACCTCGTTGCCTGTCAACTACAAGAAGGTCATTTAGGACGGATGTAACCTGTTTTCCATCAGCCAAGACTACTTTAATACCTAAAATAGGTACTGAAGTAAATTCTCAGTGTGTATACCCCCATCCAGTGTATATATCATTGTTGCCAGACGCTAGTCTGCTAATTAGGATCAAAACCTATCTAATACACGAGGATAATTTATTCCCAGATAGGGACCAAGAGGAATAAAAGTCTGACTGCATATAAACTGAGATATACGCCCCTCCACTTGCACACACGTAAAGAGAGGTAAGGTTAAGTAAGGTTCGTCAGGAAACAAGACAAGTGTTTCCTGACGCTGGTCTTCAGGTTAGGTTAGGTAAGGTTTGTCAGGAAACAGGACAAGTGTTTCCTGACGCTGGTCTTCAGGTTAGGTTAGGTAAGGTTTGTCAGGAAACACGACAAGTGTTTCCTGACACTGGTCTTCAGGTTAGGTTAGGTAAGGTTTGTCAGGAAACAGGACAAGTGTTTCCTGACGCTGGTCTTCAGGTTAGGTTAAGTAAGGTTCGTCAGGAAACAAGACAAGTGTTTCCTGACGCTGGTCTTCAGGTTAGGTTAGGTAAGGTTTGTCAGGAAACAGGACAAGTGTTTCCTGACGCTGGTCTTCAGGTTAGGTTAAGTAAGGTTCGTCAGGAAACAAGACAAGTGTTTCCTGACACTGGTCTTCAGGTTAGGTTAGGTAAGGTTTGTCAGGAAACAGGACAAGTGTTTCCTGACGCTGGTCTTCAGGTTAGGTTAGGTAAGGTTTGTCAGGAAACAAGACAAGTGTTTCCTGACGCTGGTCTTCAGGTTAGGTTAGGTAAGGTTTGTCAGGAAACAGAACAAGTGTTTCCTGACGCTGGTCTTCAGGTTAGGTTAGGTAAGGTTTGTCAGGAAACAAGACAAGTGTTTCCTGGCTCGAGTTTTAGTTATGACAACCAGCTACTCTAAAATCTATGTCATGACTTCATTTATATATTTACTAGTAGTTAAAAGTTTATTTTTATCAGTTTGTGATATAACGTAACTGAACCCAATCTAAGCCAACCTTATCTGATTTAAAGAAAATAATATTTGCAAATTTTAAGGACACGTTAAAAAAATTGAAGATGGAAATGCCTTTAAGAACATTAGCATTGTGAAATAAGGATATATAGGAGTTTAAAGCTGGAATACGAAGGTGTGTGGCAAGTGGACGAATAATACTGGCACAGCCCAGAGCGAACACTATCCTGCGGACGAGTCATTCAACTCTACACTTGGACATATAGATCAGCCTTGACTGGGGCAGGGAAAGGGCCAGTGTGGCACTATATAACCCATGCCAACCTCTTCCACCATCACTGTGCCAAGAGCAGCTCATCCCTTGACTTCATCTCTCCCATCTTATCCTTCACAATGGTTAAGTTTACCCTGCTAGTGCTAGCCCTCAGTAAGTTCCTGAGACATCACATTAAACTATGTAAATTCTTAAAAATAAATTAAAAACTGCTAAAAAAAGGGAATTTAGCACATATTTTGAATGTAATAATAATAATAATAATAATAATAATAATAATAATAATAATAATAATAATAATAATAATAATAATCATAATAATAATAATAATCAGAATAATAGTAATAATGGTTATTAGACAAAAATTAGAAATAGATTTTCAATATTTTATGGTTGTTGGAGATGCTCTAAATCCATAGTTGCAATACAGCACCTGTACAATGAGGTGCAATCCGAACTAAGAAATAAGAGGGCTGCTCCAATTCCTTGTATCAAGAAACTTTCAACACTAACTAGCTGTAGTTGCTGGAACATTGGTACTGACGCATAAATAATATTGGCAATAAAGTTTTTGGAAGAAACTAAGTTGTATACAAAAAGTTAAACTGCATTTCTGTTTTTTTTTCTGTAGCATTGTTGGGAACGTCCTACGCTGACAAGAATTTCCTACCAGTTCCTCCTGCTCCTCGCAACTCCTATGGCGTCCCGGACCTGAGGTCTGGGACTACAACCCTAGACGAACAGGAAGACACATTAGCTACCCTGGCGGCCCTTATCCCCAAGGGCGGCATCCCTGGCAAAGATTATCCTATCCTAGCTTCTGTGCCCAACACTGGCTTCTCCTGCGAAAACCAGGAGTTTCCTGGTTACTTCGCTGACACCGCTGACGAGGCTCGCTGTCAGGCCTTCCACATCTGTCAGTTCGACGGCCGCCACGACTCCTTCCTGTGTCCCAACGGCACTGTCTTCAACCAGCAGTACTTCGTGTGTGACTGGTGGTTCAACGTGGACTGCGGCGCCTCCGAGCAGTTCCGCAGTCTCAACGCTGAGATCGGCAAGACTCCCGAGGACGTGGATGCTTCTATCCGCACTGATGCTGGGACGCCCAACCAACTGTACGGCGTCCCTGAACAGCGCCAAACGTCTCCACCACAACCCTCACAACTCTACAACAGACCTAATAGGTTCTAATTACCGCCACAGTTCTACAACAGACGCAACAGATTCTAACCCTACCCCAAGTTATGCTAAACATACTCTGTTTAGCATGTAGGCAAGCAGTATATTCCGCCCTCTTAGTATATGCTTATACATATACAATATATACACTAATTCCGTTACCTTCTGTTAAACTCAAAATTCACTATTTATGAATGGTGTATCTCAAAATTATTGGCTGGAGAGCCATGGTGATACAAAAAGTTTGAAGATAGAGAAACGTGCCATTATCTCTCACCGAGGAGAGATAATGTCACTCGTAACCTAACATTTCCTTTTTTCTTTTAATACCATTATGGTAACAAGTAGTTGTTATAACAAAGTTATCGTCAATGTATATTTTGCATATAAAATAATTATATCAATGCTGGTCTACTTTATAAACCACGTCCCCTACACTGTCTTCATTTGAGTTGTAAGTTTGAAGTGGAGTTTGAAAAGAGCCACTACTGATTTTCTGTTCTTGACTTTCTCTACAGTCCAAAATCTAGCTAGAAGTAGATATTTCTCAGAAGATGGCGTCGCTGTGGACTTTTCATGTACGTAAGTCCTTTATGTCTTTCCAGTATACACGCGCAAACTCTTTCTATACCAATGAAGAGCGAAAACTATTACTCATGATACTTGTATATACCTTTACTAAAGGTTCACTTCGAATATGTTGTAGAAGTTACGTCCATTCCCAGTAATTCCCGTCCTGAAGGAAACGTATTTGACGAGCGCCTGTTAGAAGACGTTCTCGTATCTTGATCAATTTGTAAGTGGTCTTCCATTCACGCTCGAGTTTGCTACACAAATAATTCGAGGAAATTCGAACAAATGTTCATCTCTTGAATGTCGAGGAAGATTTTTTTCCCCGGCCCGGGACTTTTCCAGATGGTGATCCGACTTTAGCTCCCTCTTTAGTGAGTGTCTTGAGACCTACGTCTGCCATGGGAGGAGGTACAAGTACCTCCTCATCTTCGGGACCAACTGTCCCCAGGCCTATCCCCATTCCCTGCCCTCACGGGGCTCGTAGGGAGAAGCTAGGCCTCTGGTCTGCCATCTTCCCCGCCTCAGGGGGGCTCGTGGGAATAGCAGTCTTGGGAGCTGCAGGTGGTAGCAAGCTCTGGCTCTGGCACCTTCCCCGCCCCAGGAGGGCTGATGGGAGTGGTGTCGTCCGTCTGAAGGAGTTACATTACCTATAACTCTCGAAGGGACCGAGGACCTGAAGAATACATTCAGAATTTACTTAATCTTGAGGAGTAACTATTTTACCTCTAACTTTCGGAGAGACTGAAGACTTGAAGAAATCGATGGTAAATTTTTTTAAACTTTATTATTTATGTTTCAAAACTATGGTATATGAAGAGAGAGGTACGTTGCTTCCAGACAGGGTATATACATTAACGCCAGTGAACTACTGTGTTTATAAATTAAGGGGAGGTGCTTTCCTCAACGTATATACATATATTACGTATATACATATATTACGAATATACATATATTACGAACATACATATATTACAAATTGTGTATCGCTCAGTCTACCGAGAGGTGTGAATCTCTCACTTAACATACGCCTAGAGTTTATTTTATTTCTTGTTGTTGACATTAAAAACATTCTTGACTGGTGGAACAGATTACCTGCAGCCTTGATGCCCTAGTGCAGATATACACGAGCCAGTTATATACACCGAGACGGGTGAATCTGTTAATACAACGAGAAATGTTTAAACACTGAAAGTTCATCATAATCTATATCGTAAAGGATTAAAGAATTCCTGAATATTAGTACGGTGCCCCCCGTGGCCTGGCGGCAAAAACTCTCGCTTCACACGGCGAGGTTCCGGGTTCGATTCCCGGCGATGTGGTGGAAACATCGGACGTGTTTCCTTACACTGGTTGGCTATGTTCACCCATCAGTAAAATGGGTACCTGAGTGTTAGTGGACTGGTGTGGGTCGCATCCTGGGACAAAACTAACCTAATCAGCGGGAAATGCTCAGCGTAACAAGTGGTTTTCTGTATGGTAGTATACCATTGATGTCAGCTATGGTCTGTATACCTTGTACATGTACTAAATAATGATATTGTTATTACATAGGTAATTTGCAGTGCTAATGGCTCCATTTAACAAGCTAGGTTAAGTTAGGTCAGGTTTATCAGGACTCACGACAGTGTTTCCTGACGCTGGTCTTCAGGTTAGGTTAGGTATTGTTTGTCAGGAAACAGGACAAGTGTTTCCTGACGCTGGTCTTCAGGTTAGGTTAGGTAAGGTTTGTCAGGAAACAAGACAAGTGTTTCCTGACGCTGGTCTTCAGGTTAGGTTAGGTAAGGTTTGTCAGGAAACAGGACAAGTGTTTCCTGACGCTGATCTTCAGGTTAGGTAAGGTTTGTCAGGAAACAAGACAAGTGTTTCCTGACGCTGGTCTTCAGGTTAGGTTAGGTAAGGTTTGTCAGGAAACAGGACAAGTGTTTCCTGACGCTGATCTTCAGGTTAGGTTAGGTAAGGTTTGTCAGGAAACAGGACAAGTGTTTCCTGACGCTGGTCTTCAGGTTAAGTTAGGTAAGGTTTGTCAGGAAACAGGACAAGTGTTTCCTGACGCTGGTCTTCAGGTTAGGTTAGGTAAGGTTTGTCAGGAAACAGGACAAGTGTTTCCTGATGCTGGTCTTCAGGTTAGGTTAAGTAAGGTTTGTCAGGAAACAGGACAAGTGTTTCCTGACGCTGGTCTTCAGGTTAGGTTAGGTAAGGTCTGTCAGGAAACAGGACAAGTGTTTCCTGGTGCTGGTCTTCAGGTTAGGTTAAGTAAGGTTTGTCAGGAAACAGGACAAGTGTTTCCTGACGCTGGTCTTCAGGTTAGGCTAGGTAAGGTTTGTCAGGAAACAGGACAAGTGTTTCCTGATGCTGGTCTTCAGGTTAGGTTAAGTAAGGTTTGTCAGGAAACAGGACAAGTGTTTCCTGACGCTGGTCTTCAGGTTAAGTTAGGTAAGGTCTGTCAGGAAACAGGACAAGTGTTTCCTGACGCTGGTCTTCAGGTTAGGTTAGGTAAGGTTTGTCAGGAAACAGGACAAGTGTTTCCTGACGCTGGTCTTCAGGTTAGGTTAGGTAAGGTTTGTCAGGAAACAGGACAAGTGTTTCCTGACGCTGGTCTTCAGGTTAGGTTAGGTAAGGTTTGTCAGGAAACAGGACAAGTGTTTCCTGACGCTGGTCTTCAGGTTAGGTTAGGTAAGGTTTGTCAGGAAACAGGACAAGTGTTTCCTGACGCTGGTCTTCAGGTTAGGTTAGGTAAGGTTTGTCAGGAAACAGGACAAGTGTTTCCTGACGCTGGTCTTCAGGTTAGGTTAGGTAAGGTCTGTCAGGAAACAGGACAAGTGTTTCCTGACGCTGGTCTTCAGGTTAGGCTAGGTAAGGTTTGTCAGGAAACAGAACAAGTGTTTCCTGAGGCTGATCTTAGTCATATGATGACCAGCAGCTAGAACTTTTGGTCATCTGACCAAGACCTTCCACTAGCTTACCACTCCACCACTATAAAAATTATGGTCATAATTATAACCATTAGACTGCCTTTGTATGTAACAATCTGACTCCCAATATTTACAAAGTTCAATACATACATTAAGTAAACAGTTATGGCTAATTTTATTAGCCATAACTGTTAATAAAGAGTGTGGTAACGTCAAAACTCGCTAATTTCTTACTGATGTTGTTGACACCTTCAATCCGATTTTTAAGGTCTCCTGAGTGTTGATGAGACTGGCTAATAGTCTTTTGTAAGTTGGAGAGGTGTTTGATAAGTAAATCTGCAATAATAAACATTGATTCATTAGCTTTCCAATTCGTGCTTACAAACAGTTAACTGTCAGTGGTGGGGACCAACATTCGTATATTTGTGTAGAAGAATATATTCACTAAGTAACCCGCACATCGACCTGACGACACTGGAGGACAGAAGGGTTAAGGGAGATATGATAACGACATAAAATATTGCGAGGAATAGATAAGGTGGGCGGAGACATAATGTTCCAGAGATGGGACACAGAAACAAAGTTTCACAAATGGAAGACTCAGATGAGTCAAAGGGATGTTAGGAAGTATTTCTTCAGTCATAGAGTTGTCAGGAAGTGGAATAGTCTGGCAAGTGACGTAGTCGAGGCAGGAACCATACATAGTTTTAAGACGAGGTATGATAAAGCTCATGGAGCAGGGAGAGAGAGGATCTAGTAGCGGTCAGTGAAGAGGCAGGGCCAGGAGCTGAGTCTCGACCCCTGCAACCACAAATAAGCGAGTACATAGGAGATAAACTTACATCATTAACTAGACACACACAAGCGCATAGGTAAGGGCAGCGCTTGTGTGACCAGTTCGTGACTAACAGTGAACCAAAGCGTTGTTATGTTTGTCTCCTATTTACGGGTTATTATGTGTCTTTCCAGTCATGGTATTATACTTTTTAAGTTCTTTGTGTAGATGAAAATAAATTATTGACGCTATCTTCATCAAAAGAAATAAGTTATTAAAATAAACCGGTAAAATATAAGCCACAATATCGCACCAACAAATCGTCAGGAACCAACTAATTAGATATACTTTCTTTTTTCAATTTCCAGGTTTGTAGTTAACTTTCTACCACAACAGCCATTTTCCTTCCAAGGATTAGTTACCAGAGGAAGAAAACGTATTTACCATTTATTATCGTTCCAGAAGTGCACAGGTATCGCAGTGACGTTAGGTAAAAATTGGTCAGGAAACAGGACAAGTGTTTCCTGACGCAGATCTTAGTCATATGATGACCTGCAGCTGGAGGTTTTGGTCATCTGACCGAGGCCTTCCACTGGTTTACTGGCCCACCCGTTTAAAAATTATGATACTTATAACCATTTGATTATGTTTCCACTGGCTTTCCAGGTCACTCCTTTAAAAATTAAAATACATTAAGTCCATCGCAATTTAAGTTGATTTATATTATGCAGTGGCAAAATACTGTTCAATTATTTGTGTATACAACAGTTCGAAACGATGAGAAAATTGGGATTTTTTAATTAGAATTATTAATTATTATTACGACATTATATTCACGAGGAAACACCAAACTCGTAACGATCATAAAGAGCCTGGGATAAGAGGTAATCAGGTCTGAACCAAAAAAGACGGAAGCTTCAATTCTTTGCATCAAGAGTACTTCACCAGCATCAATAAGCCCCTCATAGAGAAGACTCAAGAAGATTCACTGACGAGTTTCTCTGCAGAAGTCTTGCGGGTCTCAAGGCAATACCTCGTATGGAAAGAAAGACACATTAGGCAACAGTGACTCCGCGAGCGGGCAGCCTCGCGTTGTTTAACTTTCTGGGTATGGGAGAGCACCTCACAAAGAATTGTGTAACTGTTCGGCCGTGAACAATATCCTGTGGACCGTCTTGATCGGGAGGTTTTCTAGATCAGCCTTGGATGCGGTAGAGAAAGGTTCACTGTGAGCTGCTATAAAGGGATGCCAGCAGTTTCATGCTTCACATAAGAACATCTTTCCTTGCTACTCTCAACTTCTCTCCATAAGATGGCCAAGTCTCTGATGTTGCTCGCTCTAGGTGAGTAACAACGTGACTTTATTAACCAGTAATGTTTATTAGCATATATAAATCAAAATGATGTAGAATGGTGGAGGTGCTTTGTTCTCTAGGAAACATCACAGTGTCTCCTGACACAGGACTTAATTCGGAGAGGACCCTTTCAGTGGTTAAGCATCCGCTGGTCTGGGATCGAGTTGCAGGGGAGGTGATCCCCAGAAGTGAATCGTCTTCGGGATCACGACATTAAGGTTCATTCATTAGACCTGCAAGTGATTTTACAGTAATTTAAGTTTGTAAAGGTCTAAGACATTCAATATTGTAGATATCTGAAATGCATTATGCAGATTTTACCAAGTATAAATTAATAAATCTGTTCGTAATTTTATCATATCAAGAATATGAATTTTGTCTTTCAAATAAGTATTAGTAATATCTAAATAAATCACAAATACTGCTCACTCTCCCTCAGCACTGCTAGGATCAACGCAGGCTCAGCAGGGATACCTGCCCGAGGCTCCTCCTAGCTACTCCTATGGAGCTCCAGATCTGAGGTTATCTGCCGGTGACGTAACGCATGACCCCTTAGCTGCCCTGGCGGCCCTTATCCCCAGGAGCGGCATCCCTGGCCAAGATTACCCAATCCTAGCCTCTGTGCCCAACACTGGCTTCTCCTGTGAGGAACAAGAGTTTCCTGGTTACTTCGCCGACACCGCTGACGAGGCCGGCTGTCAGGCCTTCCACATCTGTCAGTTCGACGGCCGCCACGATTCCTTCCTGTGTCCCAACGGCACTGTCTTCAACCAGCAGTACTTCGTGTGTGACTGGTGGTTCAACGTGGACTGCGGCGCCTCCGAACAGTTCCGCAGTCTCAACGCTGAGATCGGCAAAATTCCCGAGGACGTGGATGCTTCTATCCGCACTGATGTTGGGACGCCCACCCAACTGTACGGCGTCCCTGAACAGCGCCAAACGTCTCCACCACAACCCTCACAACTCTACAACAGACCTAATAGATTCTAAATCTATCCCACCACCAACACTACTACAGACTCAACTAGTCCTAACTACCCCAAGGACTTCCCTCACCAGCGCCTCAACTCTGCAACAGGACCGACAGAGTCGAACTCCTGAAGAGCCTAATGAAGATCTAGTTGTAATTCAAAAGATTCCAGTTCACAATTTTCCCTCTTCAATCACAAGCCTTCTTTTCTAATTTAATGGATTTTATAGTTTTCAACAAGTGACGTTAGTTTTGGTCACATATTCTACTTGCTGTATATATAAGCTTTACAGTAAATGGCCTGAACTATTTTAATATTTATTGTAATATGCCTTTTTTTGTGTTGAAAAAATCTGCAAATAAAATTCCGCTGCATGATTAAGTGTGACAAAATCTCCTGTGCCAATTACCCGACATTATTATAAAATTTAGGAAGCGATAAATCTGTACGAGTCATACATGTGGAAAATTGCATTTATCTGAATATAACTCATTATGTATATAACAGTAAATGATAACAAAGATAATTATTATTTATCAGAGTTACAAAGACAAGTAGGAATTTGGGACACCTAGGTCGCAAAAATGTCCCCCTTCGATACCTACCACTGTCTTGTATGTATCACCAGAAATTCTGGTGAATGTATAAATTTGTGGACTGTATATTAAAATTAATAAATTATATATATATTATATATATATATATATATATATATATATATATATATATATATATATATATAAATACACATTTACATAACAGAAGGAGAATATCTTAATATCAGTCACCAATTTGACTGGAGATTAATGTGTATCATACTCAGAAAACCTCACTGTCTATCCATGAAAATAACACTGTCCAGAGTTATAACATAAACAGACTTATCTGAGGTTCCTGGAGCTGTCTTGTCCAGTCGCCTGATATCTCAAGTTATGCAGGAATGTACATCCAACAATTTCGTCTCCTATTTGAGAGGTGTCAGCCCAATTTTACCTCTAGAGCACCAAAATTCTTCCCAATATTCACTAACGTTTGTATTGATTCAAATAACAATGGCGAGTCCCCCCTGCGCAGGCGCAGGGTTCCCATTTTTGATAACATAATTTTTATTATATACAATATAGGCCATCTATTTACCTATAAATTACCGTATTTCCGGAAAATATACAGTATTTTCCACAATACAGCTCCTTCGAAATGGGAAATAATTAGGCTCGATCCGAGGAAGATTATCATTATTATAATAAAAAAAGCGCTAAACTATAACGGTAATCCGAGGAAGGGGAAGGTAGCTCCCCATTCCTCGCATCAAAAGCTATTCGCCAGTTTATTTCCGCTTGACTAGCCTTCACATTACCTTTTTCCCGTAGCATTTTTAGTACATTTTCGATTTTTTTTATATTTTGGCTCCAAAATAACATAGGAACCAAGTTTGCTAAAAAAGGTGAATTGTACAATTATTTAAGTTACCTAACTTGTTTGATTAATGGGATTTAAAGCCTATTGACCACACAAGGGGGACAGTTAGGCTGCACCACCAGGAAAAAATACCATAATCCGTAACCTATTAGACTGCTATATATATTTAAATATATTTTTTATATATGCAAATCTAGTGTAGATATACTTAAGTAATGAAATTATAGATATATTTAAAAGCTTATCTTGGAGGGGAATATTTAGGTGACCCAGTTTTTGTAAGAAAAAATGTATGTAATACCAGACATGGTATGTTATTATTTTTGAGGACCTGTTCTTTCATTTTAACCTTATTTTTTAAAGGGCTGGAGTGGTAAGCCAGTGAAAGGCCTCGGTCAGAAGACCAAAAGCTCCAGTGGCGGGTCAAATTACTAAGATCCACGTCAGGAAACACTTGTCCTGTTTCCTGACAAAACTAATCTCACCTAAATAAAAAAAGGCACAATACCGTGACTGGAACGATACACAAATAACCCGCACATAAAAGAGAGAAGCTTACGACGACGTCGTCGTAAGCTTCTCTCTTTTATGTGCGGGTTATTTGTGTATCCAATCTAACCTAACCTGAAGACCAGCGTCAGGAAACACTTGTCCTGTTTCCTGACAAACCTTACCTAACCTAACCTGAAGACCAGCGTCAGGAAACACTTGTCCTGTTTCCTGACAAACCTTACCTAACTTAACCTGAAGACCAGCGTCAGGAAACACTTGTTCTGTTTCCTGACAAACCTTACCTAACCTAACCTGAAGACCAGTGTCAGGAAAAACTTGTCCTGTTTCCTGACAAACCTTACCTAACTTAACCTGAAGACCAGCGTCAGGAAACACTTGTCCTGTTTCCTGACAAACCTTACCTAACCTAACCTGAAGACCAGCGTCAGGAAACACTTGTCCTGTTTCCTGACAAACCTTACCTAACCTAACCTGAAGACCAGCGTCAGGAAACACTTGTCCTGTTTCCTGACAAACCTTACCTAACTTAACCTGAAGACCAGCGTCAGGAAAAACTTGTCCTGTTTCCTGACAAACCTTACCTAACTTAACCTGAAGACCAGTGTCAGGAAAAACTTGTCCTGTTTCCTGACAAACCTTACCTAACCTAACCTGAAGATCAGCGTCAGAAAACACTTGTCCTGTTTCCTGACAAACCTTACCTAACCTAACCTTAAGACCAGCGTCAGGAAACACTTGTCCTGTTTCCTGACAAACCTTACCTAACGTAACCTAACCTAACCTTACCTAACCTAACCTTACCTAACCTAACCTGAAGACAAGCGTCAGGAAACACTTGTTCTGTTTCCTGACAAACCTTACCTAACGTAACCTAACCTAACCTTACCTAACCTTACCTAACCTAACCTTACCTATCTTAACCTGAAGACCAACGTCAGGAAACACTTGTCCTGTTTCCTGACAAACCTTACCTAACCTAACCTGAAGATCAGCGTCAGGAAACACTTGTCCTGTTTCCTGACAAACCTTACCTAACCTAAGCTGAAGACCAGCGTCAGGAAACACTTGTCCTGTTTCCTGACAAACCTTACCTAACCTAACCTGAAGACCAACGTCAGGAAACACTTGTCCTGTTTCCTGACAAACCTTACCTAACCTAACCTGAAGGCCAGCTTCAGGAAACCCTTGTCCTGTTTCATGACAAACCTTACCTAACCTAACCTGAAGACCAGCGTCAGGAAACACTTGTCCTGTTTCCTGACAAACCATACCTAACCTAGCCTAACCTAACCTAACCTTACCTAACCTAACCTGAAGACCAGCGTCAGGAAACACTTGTCCTGTTTCCTGACAAACCTTACCTAACCTAACCTGAAGACCAACGTCAGGAAACACTTGTCCTGTTTCCTGACAAACCTTACCTATCCTAACCTGAAGACCAGTGTCAGGAAACACTTGTCCTGTTTCATGACAAACCTTACCTAACCTAACCTGAAGACCAGCGTCAGGAAACACTTGTCCTGTTTCCTGACGAATCTTACCTAACCTAACCTGAAGACCAGCGTCAGGAAACACTTGTCCTGTTTCCTGACGAAACTTACCTAACCTTTAGTTTTCTGATGAATGAAATAACATTCGAGAAATACATATGCTCGCACTTCAAGACACTTACAGCTAAGAACACTTATGAACATCTTTGATAAGTACAATGTTATTCGCTCTAGGGAGGAGTCTGTCTGGTGCCATGTCTCGACTTGCTATGTTCTGCTCCACCAAGGAACATACATATATTCAAAGAAGTGATTGGGTACTGCTGTCGTCTACTAGTCAGGGAGTAGGTCATAAGGGAACCCCAACTAGGATATTGTTTACCTAGTATGATTAGTGCAAACAACGTCTACGACTTAAATTAATAAGATAAATTAACGTGTGTTTAATTGGTTATTGTTTATTGAGCTTAAAACCTATCTTGAAGGGGGACGTTAACTCTGCAGGTCACCTGTTCGTCACCAGTTAAGGGTACTTTAATACCTAAAATAGGAAATTAATTGAACTCTGTATATTTACACGGAGAGATACACACCTCTCGGTGTAGATAGCTGTTGTAATTATATGTATACATTTCTACAGAAAAGTGTTATTTTTTATTACTCAAACTAACAAATGTTTTTGACCAAATGCATACGATATATTTTGTTTATCTATAGCAGTACTGCACGGGTACTCTAGAAGAAGGAACCGAGCAAGCAAGTCATGGGCAACATCACTGAGTAAATTAGGTTAGTTAGCCACAAACAGAGCGACCTGGGAAAGGAAGGCATCTACAGAGACTTAAGCCAGGACTAAGATTCATACAACGAAAGTTGTGTATAAGGAAGGATTCAACCAGACGGTGACTGTGAAAGTTAGAGGTAGGGAAGACAGTTTTAGAAGACCAGCCAACAATAGGATGACCGTGTTCTCTGACATGACAGAAAAAAGCATTGTTGGTGTCGGCAAGCCCAATACATTGTGAAATGTTCCAAATTTCAGAGTGAAATGAAGGGAGGATGAGTGAGACCTGGCAGAATGCGCACCGAAGGATGAACCACAACTTCGAGCCTAAGACTGTTTCAAGGTGAAATACGATGTGCAGAGTAGGTCTTTATAGACGAACTTTTCGGCGCAAGCAGAGCGAAACGAAATAAAAAAAATATAGGTTCGTTTAACACAATGATTGATTTTGTTATATAACGAAACATTTCTAGCACAGAGTGAGACTTTCAGAAATGACGCCATATATTGAAGGTGGCTCGTGGTTGAGTGGTAGCACTGGGTCACAACCGAGGAACCCGGGTTCAATCGTACCACAGGTTGGTGGGTTGTGGGTTGCACCTTGGACAAGAGGGTCAAATGACACTGGGTTCTCTGGGTTGGGAAGCTTATCAAATACAGATTTAACCTGGGTAATTCAAACTTACCGTGTAGGGATATTGATTTATGTAGCAATAATCTTAGAAGACATTACCGTCTGTCTAGACTGTTCCACTTCCTGACAACTCTATGACTGAAGAATACTTCTTAACATCCCTCTGACTCATTTGAGTCTTCAACTTCCAATTGTGACCCCTTGTTTCTGTGTCCCATCTCTGGAACATCCTGTCTCTGTCCACCTTATCTATTCCATCTATGCCTATCGGTGTTTATACAATGAGAGATTAATGTATTCTTGTATGGTAGTGAACATGTAATATGCAGCCTTAATAACCACTCCAGTACAGGCCTTAAATCACTGATGGATACTTTGACAGGGCTTGGGCTAGAG